GGGGTGGCGGCAGGATATCCAAGCGGCGGCAGTCCCTCGAACCAGCAGGAGAGCCGCGGTGGGCGTCAGATCTGGCAGCCCTCGCGTGCTCGCCACAGATCCACCGGAGGAGAAAGAAGGCTGCCAGATCTACACTGAACAGAACAAAAAACAGCAAACAAACAAACCAAAAAAACCCACACAAAACAAAAAACAAAGCCAGATCAGCAAGGGGATGGTGAATATCCGAGATTCCGAGGTGAAAGAACGGAGGTGATGGTGGTGATGGTAGATCTGCAGAAGGGAGAAAAAACAAGTTTTTTATTTTCTGTTTTCTCTTTTTCTTTTTTCTTTTTTTGGGTTTGGCACTTTGGCAGCCGCACCTCCTCCTCCCTTTAAAAGAGAGGAAACTAGGATTTTGTTAAATTTGGGTTTTGATGGGCTGCTCAATATTGGGCTAGGCTTATGAGTTTGTTTTAGTAAATTTCATCCTTAGTTTTTTAATTTTTTCAATTGAGTCCTTTTCTTGTTTTTTTTCTTCAACTTCTCCCCCAAATTTTTCATAAATTTTTTTTATAACGATGAATCCGAAACGGTACGTGAAAAATTTTGGTATCCGGTATGTACCATTCCAATAACAAAATTGATACGCGTATCGGTACGGTATTGATTACTTTAATATTTATCCAACGATATCCTAAATAAAAAAAATAAACTTAAATAAAAAAAAATAGAGAGAGAGAATTGACCTGTGACGATGGCAGTGAGTCCAGTTCCGTCAATCCCCTGAGTGACCTCCTCAGCCGTGGAAGATCCTGAGAACCCAGAGGGACCTTTCCTGTTAAACAACGGCATCTCTCTCCAAAGCTGCTGCCACTTTCATGCCGTCGCTCAGTTTCTAATTATATCCTTTTCATTCATGATCCCTTGGATTGATTCTATGAGCAGAACCCCACACTGGTAGGAGCAGAAGGGCAGTGCTTTGGAGAGAGATGCCGTTGTTTAACAGGAAAGGTCCCTCTGGGTTCAGCTGCTGCGGCATCAAAAAAATGAGAAAAAAATTGCTAGAGCGCTGCGAAGAAAGGAGCCGTGATTACAGAATCCAGAAGCGGAAGTCTTCTCAGAGATAGTTTATGTTGTTGTCTCCCCAGTTATCAGCAAGGCAATCCTTTTAAATGCGGCAAAATCATAAGTTAAGCCCCTGAATTAACCCCGGAATAGCTATTAAACCCCTAGACTTTAATTGATGCATATAAGCCCTTGAACTCTGGGATCAAAGCAATTAAGCCTTCTTCTTACGCCAACTTAACTGTCGTTTGGGACACACCCGCTTGGCTGTTTGGAAGGCAAAATATTGCCATGTCATGCTTATATGATAAAGGATTTGACACATAAGCGAGATTTTTGGGTTATGTGATCATTTAATTTTTTGATTTAAATAAAATAAAGTCATATATTTGGGTAAAAGTATTATTTAAATAAAATCTTAAATTTAAATTTAATAAATACAATAATAGATATTAAAAAAA